TCGACCATGGAACCCCATTCCATGAAGCTCTCTACGCACTGTTCTTGAGCTAATCTGAAGGCCACATGAAATTTGGAGGTCTGTAGCTATTGACTCTGCAGAAAGTTGGTGACCTCTGTGCACTATGCGTCTCAGCATCCGCTGACCCTGCTCTGTGATTTTACATGGCTTAGCACTTCGTGGCTGAGTTGCTGTCATTCCCAATCGCTTCCACTTTGTTATAATACCACTAACAGTTGACTGTGGAATATTTAGTAGTGAGGAAATTGCACGACTGGACTTATTGCACAGGTGGCATCCTATCACGGTACCACGCTGGAGTTCACTGAGCTCCTGAGAGCGACCCAGTCTTTCACAAATGTTTGTAAAAGTGGTCTGCATGCCTAGGTGCTTGATTATATACACCTGTAACCATGGAAGTGACTGGAACACCTGAATTCAATGATTTGGATGGGTGAGTGAATACCTTTGGCAATATAGTTTATGCCGTGTGGTCTCCGTACACCAGCGACCTTATATACTTTGTTAATAACAGAACGTAAGTCAGTATATCTAGTTGTTCTTTATTCAATCAAACTAGTGCTAGAAAAAGAGAAAGAAAGAGGAATAAAGTACAAGTATTCTGCAGCTAGTCGTACATTATTATTATACCACTTTTAATTTGTGACTGAATCGAATTGTACACACTGTATCATGCACCGAACCATGTTGAGAAAAGGTAACATCGTCCCCTCCCTACTAGGGTTTTAGGCTTACATGGTCATATGGTTTAAACAGATGGAGAAGGAGATACAGAGCTTTTTGTTTCTTCGGTGTGGTTTAGGGTATTGGCGACAACAGCACAACGTTGCCGAAGCATCACTGAATGATTAGATTACAAAATGAAAAAAGTAGAATTCACAAGAAAGAGAATGGAATTTGTTTAGTGTGGTGACTTTTTTGTGCCTGGCGTTTAGGAAATGTTTCACTCTCTCTTCTGTTTGAATTCGAGTAGAACAAACTGGTAGGATGTGCCACTGAATCATTTGCACAGATTGTTATATGTTAACACAAACTGTTGATACATTAAAATCAGTCACCTGAGTGAAATCTGTGTCTCTCAACAGCAAGTTTCTCCCTCTGCTCCTGTTTTTCAGGGACCTGAGTGAAAATGCCATTCAGGTCGTCCCACGGAGAGTGTTCAGAGGGGCCACGGAGCTGAAAAACCTGTGTGTGGAAGTACACACTAAGACACACACATGCACAAAGCAGAGATGTTAATGATACAAACAGCTACTGCAAAGAAACCGGTTCACACATTGTTTAGTTCATACAGATGAATATATATAAAATTTCATAAGATGGTCTAGTGTGAACTGAACATAACAAAACCCAATTGATCACATAATATAATATTGGTTGGCTTAACTGATCAATTAATGAACTGTTTTGGTTTGTGTTGTTTTGACTGCCAGTCAGCTGGATAAGAACCACATCAGCTGTATCGAAGAGGGCGCGTTCAGAGCTCTGCGATCTCTGGAAGTACTGTGAGTGTCCAGGAACATCATCAGTTTCCACCTGTGTGACACTTACAGACGGAACATTTAAATCTTTTCACAGCAAAATAAATCAGATTTTTCTTCTCCTTTCTTTATCTCATCTTCTTCCACCCATTTTCTCTCACGTTCACTCATCATCGACCTTTTTCTCTCACACACTCATCATTCTTGTCACTGTTTATTTCTGTTTCTGTCTTCGCTGTCTCCCCCACTCTCTCCCTCTCTCTCTCGCCCAGCACTCTCAACAACAACAACATCAGCACTATTCCAGTTTCTAGTTTCAACCACATGCCGAAGCTCCGCACCTTGTAAGTTCCTCACCTTCCTTTACTACATTACCCAGGATGCCACAGTGTTAATTCTGGGAACTGAACCACAGTGAGCTGTAACAATCAGACACTTGTTTCTTATTTTTGTCTCTGTTCTTTCTTTCTACATTCTGGTTCCTTTCCTTTCCTATGCTGCTTCCTTCCCTTTCTTCCTCTGCCTCTCTGCTGCTTACCTGATTCTCCTTCTTTCCTTTGGCCCTATTTCCACCCTCCTTCCTCATTCGCTTCTTCTTTCCCTTGTGTTCTTCCTTACTTTCTTCACCCCACTCCTCCCTCCATCCATGTGCACTTTAATTTTCTGCCCTTTGTCTTTTCACTTCATTCCTTTGTCACATTTCCTTCCTCCTTTACCTCCTTCCCTCCATCATTTCCTCCCTCCTTTACCTCCTTCCCTCCATCATTTCCTTCCTCTTTTGCCTTCCCTCCATCATTTCCTCCCTCCTTTACCTCCCTTCTGCCTTCCCTCCATCGTTTCCTCCCTCCTTTACCTCCCTCCCACCCTCCTTTCCTCCCTCTCCCAGTCGTCTCCACTCGAACTCCCTGCGCTGTGACTGTCACCTGGCCTGGCTGTCCCCGTGGCTGCGACAGCGCCCGGCATTAGGCCTCTACACTCAGTGCAGCTCTCCTCCCACCCTGAGGGGCCTCAATCTCGCAGAGCTGCGTAAGAGCGACTTTGCCTGCTCAGGTACGGCAGCATGCATTGGTCAGATGGTGGATGATGGACTAGACCTTGGAACCGTTTTCTTGTTTGTTTTAAGGCCACAGTGGCAGCGCGTTTGTTCAGCCGTGCAGCCTGGCGTCCGGCTCCTGTCCTCCCATGTGCTCCTGCAGCAACAACATAGTGGACTGTCGAGGGAGGGGCCTCACCGCCATCCCCGCCCACCTGCCTGAGGCCATGACCGAGATGTGAGTATCCCAGAAGAACAGGAGTCATCCAGAACTTGTCCTAGATAGCAAACAGTGAGTCTAACAGCAGAATGAGCTTTACTCTAAGTCCTTCAGCACTTAACTGGTGCGCAAGAAGGAACCGGGAGTGAAGATCGGGTCAGGCATCACACTGTGATATACAGTAACTGAAGAGTGTGAAGATAATTCATTCTGAAGCCAAATCTAGTAAGCAGACCAAATATCACCAAGGAAAAGCAACAGCTGTGTTATGTTAGTCAAATTTTTGTAAGATCTTAAATTATTTTCACTAGAGAATTGATGTTGTGTGACTGAAACTGCAGACAGGGTGTTGATGGATGTGCATCCAGCTGGCAGCTGTGTCGAGTAACAACCTGCAGGAGACAGATTATTAATGTCTGTCTCTCTCTCTCTCCAGCCGATTGGAGCAGAACGGCATCAAGTCGGTTCCTCCAGGCGCCTTCACCTCCTACAAGAAGCTTCGACGAATGTGAGTCCTTCAAAGCACTACCTCGTCGTCATCCATTATTTACACCGCGTATTCCTGAACAGGGTCACTGTGGGCTGGAGCCAATCACAGCTGACACTGGGCGAAAGGCGGGGTCCACCAGTCTATCACAGGACTGAGATGTAGACAAACAACCGCACACACTCACATTCACACTCACTCCTACAGGCAGTTTAGAGTCACCAGTCAGCCTAAGCTGCATGTCTTTGGACTGTGGGAGGAAGCCAGAGTACCTGGAGAGAACTCACACAGACACAGGGAGAACATGCAGACTCCACATTGAAAGGCCTCGGGTCGGCCGGGGTTAGAACCCAGAACCTTCTTGCCTGAGGTGACAGCGCTAACCACTGTCCTGCTCCTAATGTTAAAGTAATTCTGTCTTTTAGTAAATGTCAAATATTTAATACAAGACCACAATGAATTTAAAATCAACTATCTGAAAACAGAAAACAGCAGGAAATCCCTGGGCAGATGCAAAAACATGCTCAATAGATTTGACCCCCCCAAAATAACGTGGCTGCAGAGACAAATGTGTGGGTCAGTTTGTCTGCTGCCATCAAAAAACTGCAATAAACAAATGGATGGAAAAGAAGATTAGAGATTTTTTTGTTCAGATTTGTCTGAGAAGTTAAAAAAAAATGCTAAAATATTTCCTTCAGCTTCTTTGATTTGCAGTATAATCATAATTATTATGAGAAGAAATGATTAAATTGACGTTTTTTATGGGAGGTAGTCTAAAAGTCGGCTTGACTAATAGCATCTGGCCAATGACATGACAGTATTTCTGCCTCTCCTGGGGCGAAGCCTGTGAGAAAGTATTAGCGTTGCCAACTGGATCGCTCTTGTCTTCCTCTGTCTCCACTGTTCACCAAGCTGCGGTTTTCCTCCTCAACATAACAAACAGCCCTAGTGCATTTTCAGCCTCGAGGAGCGCTTGATTTATGACAGCCTTCAAAGAGATATAGCCCCCATCAGAGGCCCTTTAGGGTCCCACATGATGACTCAAGTGTGTTTCATTGTGATCCGGTTGTTTTGTTTAAAAAAAACACATTTGACCACAATAGTAATATTCATGGCTCCTTGACTTTCTTACTTTCCTTGTGGTTTTCGTTCTGTCCACTGCTGCTTTTTCTCTTCTGTCTTTGCCCGTTTCCATCCTCAGGCATTCTCTCTCTCCATCTTTCACTCTCTGTGGCTTTCCTTTTCCTCATAAACGTATCCTTTTCCCCACTTCTCACATCAGCACTGTGAGACCTATTCAAGTGCATAGAGGCAGACTGATTACATTACCAGGCTGGGTTAAGTGGTATTAAAATTTTTTAATCTAACATGTTATGGTTTGGCTTCCCGGCCAACCGGGCCGGCACAGTCGCTATCTCTGTCTCACTTACATCTCATGAAGTGGTGTTCCTCTACTTTATAAATGGATTTTATTTGATTCAAATTGATTAGAGGATTAGAAAAATGGATAATAAAACCACCTACCAGGATCGGTAGATGAGAGGGAGCGGGGGAACATGAGATTTTACTAGTTTGAGTAAAATCCAAGCAGAATTCTAATAACAGGAAAGAGACTGTAGTAGACAATCCCTCCTTCCATTTTCATCCACTTATCTGAGGTTGGGTTGGAGGGAGCAGGTCCAGGCCCAGACGTTTCTGTCCCCTGCGATGCTCTCTAGCTCCTCTTGGAGGACCCTGACGTGCTCCCAGGTTAGATGAGACATATATAATCCCTGGGTCTACCCCTGGGCCTTGTCCCAGGTGGACGTGCCCAGACAACCGCCTGTGGCAGCTGCCCAGGAGGCACCCTAATCAGACACCTCCACCAGATCAGCTGGTTTCTTTCAATGTAAAGCAGCAGCGGCTCTACTCCGAGCTCCCTCCGGATATCTGAACTCCGCACCCTATCTCTAATGCTGAGACCAGCCATCCTATGGGCAAAATTCATTTCAGCCGCTAGTATTTATGAGATCGTTCTTTCCGCCACCACCCAGAGCTCGGACCATAGGTGAGGGCTGAAACATACTGTAGACTGATTGGTACACTGAGAGCTTTGCCTTCTGGCTCAGCGCCCCCTTCACCACAACAGTACAGTGTAGTAGACCAGACATAATGAGCTCATCAATAAGAGTTTACAGACGTTTTGTGGAGTAACAGTCTAATCTTAGAGTCAAACATCAGATTATTTATTTGAGCTGAAACTGAAGTCAAAGATAACCCCATCATTCCTGCAGCTTAGTGAAGTCTGAAACCTGCAGAGACAACTCCTGACCCGGGACAGAGTTCACCTTGACATCAAACCACAAACGAAGCATTCAGCAGTTCTTTGAATGTTCAGAGCAAACGTTTCTGACCGCTGTGTTTGTGTCATTCACAGAGACCTGAGCAACAACCAGATATCCGAGATCGCTCCAGATGCTTTCCTCGGCCTCAGGGCTCTCAACTCGCTGTGAGTAGCACACAGGTCTGCGTGCTGAGAGGGGGCGTCTTCCATCTACAGTGTGTCTGTAGTATGCCTGTCTATATGTGTCTGTACTGTGGTGTATATGTTCGTGCTTTTGTATGGAAATTTACCAGTGGAGTATGAAACTTAGAGTTTTACTAGCAAAATAAGAGTCTTACTGTTGAGTTGATAATAAAACATCCTATAACTAGGAACAGACTGACGGGCTATATATGAACACAGGGTCTCTCCTCTGTGTGCAGCGTTCTGTATGGTAATAAGATCACGGAGCTGCCCAGCGGTGTGTTTGATGGCCTGGCCTCTCTGGAGCTGCTGTAAGTCCAAACCACAATGCACATATACATTTTTGTCTGAACACAATTTACACTGACTGTGTTTTAAATGAGCTGAGTCAAATGTCTTGAGAGTGCCCGAAGCTGGTTAATCTGATGGATGGAAACTAATGTGTGCTCGAAACCGAAGCTTTTTGAGCTGATGTGTGTGGACTCCCAGAGAGTCACAAAGACTGCAGCACTAAGGGACAAAGGATGAACAGTCTGAGAGCAGCACATATTCCTAGCTAGTTTTCACTGCTGAGAGTAGTTCATCAACATGTGCTCGTCCTGCATGGCGTGACAAAAACATCACGTCACCGGATTTTGCTTGTAGCTCATTTAAACTCCTCGAAATGTTAGATTTTAGTGGAGGAATGCACCTTTGTAGTTGTCTTCAAGATGTTTTTTGGTTTAAACCTTTTACTGACCGAGCTTGTGAAATGCTTTTTTTGTGAATGACCTCGACTGTCCTTCAGGTTGCTGAATGCAAATAAGATCCACTGTATCAGAGCCACGGTGTTCAAGGATCTGGAGAACCTGGCTCTGCTGTCACTGTACGACAACAGGATCCAGAGTCTGGCCAAAGGCACTTTCAGCTCCCTGCACAGCATCCAGACCCTGTAAGACGACACACACTCACACATGCCTGTTTCTCTTCAGTTCTGTTTGACTCCACTCGTTCTGATCTGACTGATGTTCCTCCACCCTGTGATTTCCCATCAGCCACCTGGCCCAGAACCCCTTCGTGTGTGACTGTAATGTGAAGTGGCTGGCCGAGTTCCTGCGGTCAAATCCCATAGAGACCAGCGGCGCACGCTGTGCCAGCCCTCGTCGCCTCGCCAACAAACGCATCGCGCAGATCAAGAGCAATAAGTTCCGCTGCTCCGGTCAGTGCCACCATGTCTGTGTCTGTGTGAGAGAAAGTAAAAGGAAGAAATGTGAACTAAGACGAATGAAAACCTGGGTTTATAAGCTACAGTGTAAAATGTTGAACTACACATGAACAAACAGTATGTGCAAGAAAGGTAGCATCATTTTCTCCCACAAGTCGTGTGTTATGTACATGTCCTGTTATATATAGTGACACTGTGCTGTGAGACACCAACACTTCTTTGTTCCTGACTGTCACACCACTACTTGTGCAGAAAAAGCCTGACCAGCAAGAATTGTCGTCTCTTTTTCTCTGGTATAAAATATGTAAAACCAGTCAAATCATGGTCAGATAAAATCTCCTAAACGCAGCATTGTTCCTGCTGGAGAGACGATACTGTTCATGGCCCAGCTTAGGCCCATGCAGGTATCTACAGTGGACATGGCAGCTCAAGAAGAGCACGTGTTTTTTGTAGTTTAACAATAATCATGTTTTGTATGTTTTCTAAAGATAGAAGTATTGTCAGTGAAATGTTCGTTCCAAATATTTTTGTACTATGAGTTGTGTGACCACTGCGTTGGCTTTTAAACCCTGACTTATGTTATGAAATAAAGTGCAGGAAATGTTCAAGTTCTAACAGGCTTTAGGATGAAAATGAAGAATTCCCCTTTTGGTTTAGACACAAGAACCACTGTTATTTGTTCATCTCAACAGTTAAAGAGAGGCGAGAAGCAGCACATTAACCTCACACACTGTAACTGGACGCCTGTAACTCCAGGCTCCTGGCTGTGTTCATGTCCCACACCATGCCAGCGTGTGAAGCCAGTGGAGCCACAACAGGCTCCCTGATCACTGTATAAATCACTCCGCGCTGCCTCAGGCTGCAGCCAGGCCTGGGCAGCTGGACACAGGCCCACACGTTGCTTCTATTAAACAGCAAAACATGGACATGGGTTGTTTCACGTCTCCCCTTTGTGTGTAAAATGTTAAAACGTACTTCTGCCAGTTCCACACAGACCTCCTCCAGGAGCGTGTGTGTGAGAGAGACTGTCGGAAGTGTCTAAAACCTTGTGACTGATGTAGTTTTGCTTCTTCTCTTCCTTTTCTCTGACAGCCAAAGAGCAGTACCACATCCCAGGTGATTGTCTGTGTTTGTGTCTTCTATAGATATAGTTAACTTTACATCAATTATTTTGCAATAACAAAAGTAAAACTGCTACAGTATGCGTTTTCAATTAAGGTAATTTGAGAAAAGCAGAAATTAGATGTCTCCTAAGTTGTTATCAGCTTGACCCACATATCTGTGTCCTCGCTGTGTGTGTGCATGTGTCAAGGTACTGCAGACAAACGTCTGAGCCACGAGTGCAACAGTAAGCCGGTGTGTCCCGCTAAGTGTCGTTGTGAGGCTAACGTGGTCGACTGCTCCAACCTTCGCCTCACCAAGTTCCCTGAACACCTGCCCTCCTCCACTGAAGAGCTGTGAGACACGCATGACCAAATACACACACAAAAAAACACACGTGCACTCTAGTCAGAGTCCAGCCACTACTGGATGGTTTATGTAAAGACATAACCAGGTAACACGAGCAGACCCCTGATAGTTGGTTATTCAAGACATAACCAGGTAACACGAGCAGACAGTTTTGGTACAGACCCCTGATAGTTGGTTATTGTAAAGGCTCTGCACAGCGGTGGTTCACTCACACAGGTTGGTGTGTTCGAGCTCTTCTTTGGGCTGTGTGTGTGTGCAGCTTTGTCACTTCTGTTTGGTGAGATAAACACAGTTTTGGTTCATCAAATATGATACCACCATAACAACAGTGACGATTTCTGGAAATATT